AGTAGTTGTGTGCCATATGGAGCAATCATCCCCAATGCAGTTGTTCTGCAACAAAGCAACAAAAGGTTTAAACGGAACCTAGCAAACAAATCACACCAATCCAAAGTGAAGGCTGGGACTTGCGGGCCTGGGACTGGAATGAGTAAAAGCTTTACAGAGTAACTGGGTAATGTGCGATACAGGGTTAAATCTTTATGGAAGCAGAAAACCTCACCTTTCTCCCTTGGAGTGGTTTCGAACTACTGACTTTGAAGTTAACAGGACAACACATAAGCCTACACCACCACCAGGGCATAGTTGTAAGAAAAACAAATGTCAACAGACTTGATACCACTGAAAAAATAGATTATTTACAAAGCAATGTGTATAGCCCTGTGACATTTAGGACCAGTATGATCAATATGTCCCTTTTTCATCTAAGAAAATAAAAGTAGCCAAAGTCAAAAAATAACCATATGCAATAAAACCAAATCGGAGATAAATCAGAGTAAGCTTAATACTCATATAATATCTTACATGCTATATGAACCTTCCCTGTTTTGGTTAAATATCTGTCCTCCATCCTAGTTACTTTCACACTATTACTGAATGTTTACTGTGTTCTCTGGGCCTACCTTGACTTCTTTACTAATAATGCCTCTTGTCGGGTTGGAATGAGGCTTGATGATCATCAAAGAAACATACGTCATCCATGCTACGAAACCATTAACAACATTGATTCTCAAAAACAATCTGTCATAAGTATGATAATAAGACAGTCCTTTCAATGCAAGACCAATCAGCTCCTTGCAAAGGAAGACCTATGGAGAAAGGAAAATATAACTTGCTACAATGGAAGAAAAGAAAAAAAAAAGCCCTAGATTTCAAAGAAGAAAAAAGTATGATAGTCATAATAGTCAGATCATGTTATTAAACTGACAGCAAGAACCTATAGGTGATGGGCCTAGACAGGCTCTGTGGATTTCTTGCAGAGAAAGGTAATGAATAGAATGAAGTTATTTTTCAATCTTGATAGGAAACAGCATTTGATTTATTTTTGTTAACTTTATTTTTGTTAACTTATTTTGCTAACTTCTTGTGAATTGGGAAACGCTCTGTGGAGCAGATCAGTTTTCCATTGAATAATTCATACACATTTTGTTTCACCTCAGTGATTGCAGTCCCTCCTATAACACTTATCCCATTTCCTCCCTGTGTTTTGTTTCCATTCTTCCTTCTTTCCTAAGCCTGCTGAGCTTTTCCTTGGGCAAATGCTGCACGTGTAATCTCGAGTGGTTGATTGTTCTAAAGTGTGCATAACTTCCTAGTATTATTGTTCCTCTATTGTTTGCCTGAAGATTGTGTTCATTTCCAGACCTGAGGAGTGACTAAGGGTCTTCAACATGGGGGCTCCACCAGTCTATCCAATCAGTAATTTTGCTTTGTTTTTATGGTTGTCAGTTCTGTTCCGCACTGTTCTCCCACTATATACAAGGCCATCCCTTGCAGAGCTATTGGTAGCTGGGCACCATCTAGTTCTTCTGATCTCAAAGTAAAAACTAATGTTTTGTAGTCCATTAGTCCACTGGACTAATTGTTTCCATATCTCTTTGATTTTCTCCACTATTCAGGAAAGGGTATTTTAAAAATAAAATCCCTGTGATCATTTAAAATAGTTATAGTGTTTTAGAATTACGCTAATGAAAGTGACCTCCCTCATCGGTCAGTGTAAGACATTGAAAAAAAAAGGATAAATTGTCAAGGATTCATGAAGAGGGATGGTGGGGGAGGGGGGAAATGAGCTGATACCAAGGGCTCAAGTAGAAAGAA